GGCGTCTCTGGGAGGGGCGGGGCCTAGGGAGAGTAGCGGCGCTCCCAGCCAATGGGAGGCGGGGGCCGTCCCGTTAGGGCCGGATCCCAGCGGGTGGGGCGGGGCGGGCGGCTCGGTGGGGATCCCGGGGCGGCCGAGGGCCGCGACTCGGATCCGCGCGGCGACATGGACCGGATGGCCAGTTCCATGAAGCAGGTGCCCAACCCCCTGCCCAAGGTGCTGAGTCGGCGCGGGGCGGGCGCGGGGATGGAGGCGGCCGAGCGGGAGAGCTTCGAGCGGACTCAGGTGAGGACCGGGGGACCGCGGGGCTTGCACGGCTGGGGCACCCCGAGAGATGCAGCGTCCGGGAGGGGCTTTGAAGGGAGTAAGGGTCTTGCAGGCCCAAGGGAGGACGGGGCAGGGGGGCCGAGAGAGGGAGCCTCTGGCGCGCAGGTCGAGGCGATCCCGGGAAGGTCGGGGACCCGGGCATCCCAGCTGGCCTGGGGAAAAGGGCAGGGCGGCCCCGAGGAACGGCACGATCCGGGCGGCCCGGCCCAGGGCGGCTGGTCCCGGCGGCACAGGGCAGGTGAGAGGGGAAGGCACCGAAAAGCGACCGAATGGAAGGGGAAGCGCACTGGGGGGCCGCTCGGAGACGCAAGTGTGGCGGCGGAGAGTGGGGCGCTGGTTTGGGGATGTGAAGAATGGGGAGCCCTTTCCTCCCCTCGCGATTGCTTCTCGGTTGCACTGGCATCCCCCCACCCCGAGCACCGCCTTCCCGGTGCCTCTTGCTTGGCACACACACAGCATCCCAGCTGTCGGCCTCCCCGGGCCGGGCCAAAGGGGTCTGAGCGGTGAGAAGGAATGTAGGAATGCGAAGTGTGGACGAGCTTGGAAAATAACTGGGGACTGGAGGAGGGGGCCGGCCAGGGGCAGGAATTGACGCGCTTGGCCCCACAGTCCGCCACTGGTCAGGACGGGCTGCCCAGAGGTGCCAGGAGCCCCAACTTGGGGTTTTGGTTTCATCCCCCAAGATATGCCTGACAGCTAATAGGCAGACTGCCCTGTTTGTCCAGCCAGGGCTGGGGGCCAAAATTCCTCAGTGTCATCAACAAAAAGCCACAATCCATTTTTACCTCAGAGTTTTAATGCCTGGTGTATTGATTTGACTGAATAAAGCTGACATGTTTCTGGTGTTCATCAGCTCTTTGTATGCAAAGTTCATTTTAAAGGGCATAGCACTTCTTTTAATTCTAGTGCCCAGGTCATGGGGGCAGGCTCGTTCTCTGCTCTCGCTCTCAGAGTGGGACCTTTGGAGACCCTGCTGGGCCACCACTGCCAGCGCTGGTTCCCCTGCTGCGTTCTCCTTCTTGCCCCAAACACAGTACCACGTGAGGGAAGGGCTTTGGGGTTTTGGATAGGAAAGACTGTGAGGACCCGAGTGTTCTAAATATGGAGCCTTGCGGAGGATAAAGCTTATCACCCCCAGGGAACTTCATCCTCTTCTTTCCAGGCGCCTGTGGCCCATCTGGTTACAAGGGTGTCTGGGTGATGTAAAGTGGGGAGTGTTCTCTCCCTGGATCATCCTATTCCAGGCAGGATGGGAGAGATGGCCTTTCACTTCTGCCTCCCAGGGTCCAGCTGGGTTTGAGGCTTATTCTCTGGCTTTGTGGCCTGGACCACTGAAAAGAAGGAAGCTTTCCTTCTGCCTGTCCACCACGGGTGTTACTGCCTCGACTAGCTGCCTGGTCACACGAGGCTTCTTGCTCCAGAAAACAGTGTGAATGTTCTTTTTTTAATGGAAAAGAAAAATAAATAGGTGTTATTTTATAACCCATTCCTTCTAGAGTCTCAAATAAGTAAAAACTGGAGCAATAGAGAAATACACATAAAGCTTTGACCCATTGTAGTGATGGAAATTAGGTTTGTGACAGTTTCCACTCATGACTGGCATATCCCCTCACTATCCAGGGATAGCTGAACAAGGAGAGTCTAGGTCAGTGTTTTCCGGTGTTTTGCTTTCTGTAGGACACTTGTAATTGGCCAGCCCCCGAGTGGCTAGTGGCTTTTGGGGGGGGGGGGGTGAAGAGGTAAACTGGATCAGGAAAAGACAGTGTTTCTATTGTTGACACTGTTAGAGGTTAGAAGAGTGAAGAAAAAGAAAAGAGAACCATCCTGAAACTTAGCTTTAGTCAACCTGCAAAAATTTAGTTTAATGACTATCTATCAAATGTATTATAAGATATAAAAATGAGTTAGAAAATTTTAATGAGGTAAGAGACCATGAGAGTCAGCCAAGGTAGAATGATAATTGTAACTAATTATTAGGTTTGGCACTGTTCTAATTACTTTATTGTTTTACCTTCTTTAATCTCCACAAGGACTGAGGTGGGTATCAGCCACATTTTACTTTAAGAAACTAGAGGCACAGAGAGGTTAAGTAACTTGCCCAAGGTCACACAGCTGGAAGTGGTCCCAACCTTTAACCACTGTCTGTCTTGTGTTGCCTCTGAGTGTTGGGCAGAGCACTGGCATTGGAGTTGGAAGAGGTTGGTGAGTTTTACAGCTGGGCACGTGGATAGGCTGAGTGGCCTCAGGCAAATTGTCTAACCTTTTTTTTTTTTATAATTTTATTTTATTTATGTTTTTCCCCCAAAGCCCCAGTAGATAGTTGTATGTCATAGTTGCACATCCTTCTAGTTGTTGTATGTGGGACGTGGCCTCAGCATGGCCGGAGAAGCGGTGCGTCGGTGCACGCCGGGGAGCCCAACCCCGGGCCGCCAGCAGCAGAGCGCGTGCACTTAACCGCTAAGCCACAGGGGCCGGCCCTGTCTAACCTTTCTAAGCCTCAGTTTCCTTATTGTAAAATAAAGATAATACTCACCTGGCAGTTTTATTGTGGGAATTAAAAAATAGGCGTGAAGGCATTTTGTAAACTGTGGAGCACTATTTCAATGATGATTGCTGTAACGTGACTGGGGAGCTGAGACCTAAGAAGGCACAGGTGTGGGTAATCGTGCAGCCTCTGACTAACTCCAGTCGAGGGCCAGGAGTGTCCCTAGGTAACGGGATAATTACCAGGAGGTTGGAGCCCTCACCCAGGACTGCCCCCCCCCTTTCTGCCTGAGTTTGCACTTGCTCGGGCGGGGGATGGGGCGTGGGGTGGGGAATGGCTTTAGGAAACGTCATCGGGGGTGAGTGCGGAGGAGACTCCCGGCTGGGGTGGAGGTGGAGGTGGAGGTGGAGGTGGAGGTGGAGGCGGAGGCGGCGGCGGAGGCGGCCCTCCCACCTCTGGCCTCCTGGCACCTGCCGCCGCGGACTGTCCGCGTTTCTCTGTTGCCCTCAGTAGCACTGAGCTTCTTGAGGGCAGCGTGTCTGGTTCTCGCGTGTGTGCCCCACACCTGAGGCTTGTGTTATGGGAACTGGCTGGTCGAGGGGAGGAAGTGACTGCTCAGTTCCATCCGGGAAGCCCTGGCCTGGGTGTCGCTCAGCCCTGGGCTACAGGGGACATCTGTTGTTACCTGACGTTTTCCCTAGTGGCCACATTCCCTCTCGATGCAGCCTTGTCTCCTGCACCCTGGGTCAGGAGCCCTGCCTGTGCCCTGCAAGGACTCGGATTTCTCTGCCTTCCTTCTGCTCAGGCCGGTGTCCCGGCTGCCTGTGCCCTCAGACCAGCTTGTCTCCTCACTCCTGCCAGCCTCTTCTGGGAAGCCTTCCCTCCTCAACAATCCTGGCATCATCCTCACACTTCACACGGCCCTTGTTCCAGCCAGAGTGGGGACCCCAGACCCGCCTACCACAAGCCCCATCTCCAACCAGACCCCTGGTGTGTCCCCTACCCTGCCCGTCACAAGCAACCTTCAGGCTCTAGGGAGATGAACAGTAGTTCTCGCCCTCAAAAAAGCTGCTGTAATAATGACACCTTGCCTGGAGCACTTTACAGTTTATAAAGCCTGTTTGGCCATCATGGAGGCTGCATGGGGGCGGGGTATTTTTATGGATGAGAGCTGGTAACTTGTGCAGGACCACTGGTTGGTGAGTGGAAGGGTCGGGATTCAGATCTCGGGCCCCTGCCACCACACTGTCCTCATGTCGGCCAAGACGGCAATTCTGGAATGAACCAGGAGGGCTGCCACTTGCAAACAAAATCCCTGTCTGTATTTCCTTAGCTGGAAATGGTTTTCTCTGTGGTCTGTTTATTTTTTTGGCATTCATTTAGAGAGCATAGACCGTGGAGGGGACACAGAGATGAGGAAGATCAAGAGACCAGCCCCACAGGGGCTCTTGAGTCAGCAGGGAGGTGGACTGGCCACTGCGGGGCTCCTCTGTGGGGAGGACGGAGGAAGGACCTGCAGCTCTGGCGTCGTGGGAGCTGTCAGCAGTGCCGGGCCTGCTCACTCAGAGCCTGCATTTCAACCAGACCCCGGGTCGTGCTGTGCACACCGAGGTTTTAGCAGCCCTGCTCGGTGGCAGGTGAATGCTGGGATCAGAGGATGGGGCTCTGGACACACAGAGCAGCCCTTAGAGAGCCACAGTCTCTTTGGGTGGAGCCCACAACAGAGTACAAGATCCTAATGAATCATGTGCTGGGAAGAGCCAGGAGACTCAGGTTCTAGAGAGGAGGAGACAGAAACATATTTATTGAGGGCCTGCTGGGCACTAGGAACATGTTAGGTGATTTCTTTTCATTATCCTATTTAATAGCTTAGGCTCCGAGAGGCCAAGTGACTTGTCTAAGGTCACACAGCAAGTCAACAGAGAAGTCAGGGCTTCAAAATCGGATGGCCATGTCCTCTTCTCCATGTTTAAGTCAGGGGCTCTTTCTACCATCTTGCTCATGCTCTTCATCAGATGCTCAGCCTTCGATTCACCAGCTGAAAAATTTTCGGCTTGGACCAGAGGGATCAGTGGTTCTTGACCCTGGCTGCACAGGAATGGCTTCTAAGATAACAGGTACTGCACCCCCCGTCCCCTGTTTGCCCTCTTAGTTGGTATTGAAAATGTAGGAAGGACCCTAAGCTTTCTTTAGGTCTGTGGTTTTGTACTCTTTTGGTTTCCTCCCACTAATACCAGTGAGAATAGCCAACATTTACCGCACTTACTATGTATAAGCGGTGAAGGCCTCACACAAGCCACCCCTCTCAGTTCCTGCAGCAAACTTACGAATTATAATCCCTGTTTTATAGATGAGGAAATTGAGGCTTAGGGAAGTTAATAACTAGCTCAAGGTTCTGAAGTAAGTAAGTGTCAGCGCTGGGGCTCAAACCCAGGAACGCCAGCCCCGGAGCCTGGCTTTTCACGATTGGCAT